AACGCTACACAGAGAAACCCTATATTGAAACACACACACACACACACACACACACACACACACACACACATTCCCCCCTCTTGCACACATTCCCCTTTCTCACATACACTCTCCCCTCTCTTACACACACACACACACACACACACACACACACACCCTCTCTCTCACACACACTCTTTTCCAAAACCGCCTTTACTGCTGTTCAGCAAAGCCCCACAACCCAGCCCACACACCCGCTCTGGCGCCGCAGCAGGGTTACGTGACCTAGCGCAAAGCCTACTTGGTGATAAAGACCAAGTGTCTCCTGAAACCTGTGGAGCAGCAGAGTAAAAATCGGGAAGGTCATGTGTGCACTTTGCACCATCCTAAGATCAGGAAGCCACTCGGTCAATTAGATGGCGACCTCTATATGAGGCTTGAGAAATCTTGGGACATCAGCCTGCCTTGCAAGGCTGTTTTTTTCCCTGGTTTGAACTGGGTTTTGGGGGGGGGGGATGGGGTGCTTGTTTTTCAAAATGTTATTATCTCATTCTTGCTCATTGTACAATAAATAAATTGTCCTTCTGCAATAAACCCCACTGTCCCTCCATTCAGGGGTCTGCCCCAGAACAGCTGAGGCACAAGCAAAACCTTTCAGCTGTCCTTCTGCCTGTGGTTTTCCCAGGCACTCAGCGCATCCTACTGAGTGAGAGGAGCTGGGGCTGACCTCGGGCTCCCGATGCCCGGCCCAGCTCTCTGCCCACTGGAGGCTGTGTCTCGGCACCTGCTCAGCAGCTTGCCCAGTCAGGGGGTGATGGCTCCTGGCACACTCCAGCCTCCATGCCATCATGGAAGCCACCTGCTCTGTCTTCCACAGTGAAAGGACACCACCTGGGAGGTCTGTCCGCATCCCGTACCCTTACTCTATTGTGATCACACAGATGGTATGACATGAGCGCTGTGGGAAGGCCTGACCAGTGTGGAATGGAGCCATGTCATCGTGCTGCAGCTTTAAAGAAACAGCTGTGTCTGTCTCCAAGGGGGAGAGTTCCGTAAGTCTGATGACAGCCCACCCGTGCCAACATAATAAGGAAGCCCCTCTGGCTTGACCCTCACAGAAAATGCGTCCAGCCTCCTGGTATTTGCACCAGCCTTTTCCTCCACTCCCCCGTCACCTAGCTCCCCACCTTACAGACACCTGCCCAGCCGGCGTCCTACAGTGCTCTCCTCCATTGTGCAGAGCAGAGGACGGTCCACTCTTTATTACAGAGGAATGTCAACCCAGGGGCAGGGCCTTGGGTTTACCCCCGGCCTCACAAAAGAACCATGTCACCTTGACAGATCCATTTGATGGACTCTGCTCCCTTAACATGGTGTGGCCTTTCACGGTACTTCCACAAGAGTGAAGTTCCATCCCCCACCCTGCTGGGTCTCCTCACGCACCCCTCTCCTCTAGAGACCCCTCAACACTCCACTCATATTACCAGACTAGCCTGCATCCTGCAGACATCTTAGAATACACTTCTAGACAGTCATGCATGTGACAGTCATACATACATTTAAAACATGTGTATGTACTTGTATGATATTGTGTTCTATAAAAACGGTACCATGTTGTAAAAATTATCCCATGTTTTGGGGTTTTTTTTTAATCAGCAGTACATTTTTTAATTGAGCTTTTGGGGAGCAGGAGAGGTGGCTCAGCACTTAAGAGCATTTGCTGCTCTTGCAGAGGTCTTGGTTTGTTTCCCAGAATCTACATAATGGCTCACAACCATCTGTAACTCCAGTTCTGGCCTCCAGGGGTACCAGGCATGCACACAGTGCACATACATACATACAGGCAAAAATAAGATAAAGCTACATTGAGCCATTGATCTATGAAGCTCTAATTTATCCCCTTTCTATGATATTTTTTTGTTTTTTGAGACAGAGTCTTTTTATGTAGACCTGACCTGTCCTGGAACTCACTATGGAGACCAGGCTGACCTCGAACTCATGGAGATCTGCTTGTCTCTGCCTCCTGAGTGCTGGGATTAAAGATATGGATCACTGCAAGTTCGGCTGCTATTTAACATGCTTTTTTGTTTTGTTTTGTTTTGTTTTGTTTTGTTTTGTTTTGTTTTGTTTTGTTTTGTTTTGTTTGTTTTTTTTGACAAGGTTTCTCTGTGTAGCCCTGGCTGTCCTGGAACGCTGTAGACCACACTGACCTGCGTCTGCCTCTTGAGTTCTGGGACTTAAGGCGTGTACCACCACTGCCTGGCTTTGTCACTTTTAAAATGTTAAAGTGAATACCTTCATAAAGCAGCTTCCTGGGCACACATACTTTTTTCTTTTTATAGTGAAAACGCAAGAGAGCCGCTGATGGTAGCACACGTATACTTTCCAGATGTTTTAAGATATTTAAAACGCACATGCATCCACATGCCATAGCACCCTGCAGACATGCAGAAAGCAGGTTTGGGCATCAGTTCCTTCCTTCCACCTGTGGAGACAGTGCTGCTGTCCGCTGCTGCACTGTGCACTCTCCACCTATTCTGTCTCCACCTCCCATCCTAACTGTAGGAATGCTGGGATTATAGACATGTGCCACAGAATCTGGCTTTTCAGTGGGTTCTAAGGGTCCAAACTCTGGTTGTCAAGCTTGTGCGGTATGATTATCTGCTTTAATTGCCCACTTGATACAACCTAGAATTATCTGGGAAGACAGTCTTATTGAGGGATTGTCTACACTGGGTTGGTGGGTTGGCTTGTCTGGAGTGGATTATCCTAAGTTAATTGACACTGGAAGTTCCAGTCCATCGTGGGCGGCCCCATTCCCTAGGCAGGGGCTCCTGAACTGTATAGAGTGAAGAAATGAAGCTGAGCACAAGCAAGTGAGCATGTGTGAGTTCATTCTTCTCTACTCTTGACTCCAGCAGATTTGATGTGACAAGACCCTGCCTTGACTTCCCCACAGTGATGGACAGTAACCTGGCCCTGGAGGCCCTTTGTCCCCACGTTGCTTTTCGTCAGGGCACTCAGCAAACATTTGTACCCATGGAGCCATCTTCCTAGCCCCACATTTTCATTTTGCTGTTGATTTTTTTTTTTTTTGAGACAGTGTCTCACTACATAGATCTAGCTGTCCCAGAACTTGCTCAAACTCATAAAGATCTGTCTGCCTCTGCCACTGAGTGCTGGCATCAAAGATACATACCACAAAGTGCCTTCCAAAGGGGCTCAGCCACAGACTCCCCTGCCCCCAGCTTGGGATCAGTATGATTTTCCCCAAAGCCTCTTAGACACAGATGCTGGACTTGCTTCCTACTCCCCTGATGGGTGGACGCTGGGTACAACTGTTGGTTTGACGTCACACTGCATAATCTTTAGGATTGGCCAGGCACCTGGACACGGCAGCTCCTTCGTGACAATTCCAGGAAGTTCTTTCTCCTCTGCTGGGAAGTGCCTGCTACACAGTGAATGAGGATACTGATTTTCCTCCTGCATACATGAAGACAGCGCATACACGTGTAGCTCATCTTAGCTCTTCACATGGCTCACAGAACAGGATTTGATATTTCCATGCGGACGGATGTGTGTAGCCAAGCTGTCTCCTGCTCAGCACAGCTATCCCTACATCAAGGTCATCCCTGCCAGGCTGTGCCCCTTCAGATGCCTCTGGGGAGGTGGGTCTCTAACGTCCATCGTCCTTTGGTTAAGGACTTTAGATCTCACTCTTTCTTGCTGAGCCAATTTTTCTGACTAAATGTTTTCCTTGAAAAGTGACCATTTCATCGAGGTTTTCAAATGTGGGGTTTTAAATTGCCCCTGGTCATACCCTTGAATCCCTTGACTTAAAAAGAAAAAGGCCCCTCGCCCCGTGTGTCTCTGCTGCCTGCACACAGACCTGTGTCTGCGTCTTTTTCTTCCTCTCCCGATTCTTTCTGTTGGCGGGCTCCCCTCTTCCTGTTTGCTTTCTGTCTCTCTGGTTTCTGCCTTTATTGTCTTGCCCGCAGTGTTGTGTGGATTTGTTTAGTTGTTCCTCCTCTGATTTCCAAAGTGGGACGTTCTGGCCTGTGTACTACGTGGCTCTGGTTTCGAGGTGAATATGGAAGAAAAGGCTCGCTTTAGCTTGTTTTGATTTGTTTTCTTGCTGGATTGTTTTGGTTTTGGTTTTTGTGTTTGTTTGTTTTGTTTTTTTAAAGACAGAGATCCTCTGTAGGCCAGACTTGTAGCTGGAGAGCTTCTCTCCAGGTTCCACCAAGCCCCCTCAGTCTCACGACCCACGTATAAAATAATCACTCAGACACTTATATTACTTATAAACTGTATCGCCGTGGCAGGCTTCTTGTTATCCACCTCTTCTATCATAAATTAACCCATTTCTATTAATCTATAAGTTGCCACGTGGCTCATGACTTACCGGTACCTTACATCTCGCTTGTCATGGCAGCCGGCAGGTCTCTCTGCCTCAGCCTTCCACTTCCCCCAATTCTCTTCTCTTTGTCCCTCCTATACTTCCTGCCTGGCTACTGGCTAATCAGTGTTTTATTTATTACCCAATCAGAGCAACACACGTAACATACAGAACATCCCACATCACACACTGGCCTGGCACTCACAACGTGGCCGAAGCTGGTCTTGAACTGGGAGCAAACCCTCCTGTCTTAGAATCTGCCTAGCTAGGCCTGCAAGGCAGCAGCCCACCCCCCACTAGCCACAGGTGCTCACGGGGGAAGGTGCTGCTTCATCTTCATCAAGTTCTAAAGGTTGTGTTAAGTTCCATTTTCAGTTCCTACCTATCACAGAGGTCTTTGACTGTGGGGCTGGAGACATGGCTTGGCAAGTAGGAGCGCTAACCGCTCTCCCAGAGGACACTGGTTCTGTTCCCGGCATCTGCACAGTGGCTCACAACCATGTGTAACTCCAGTGCTCCCACTGATCCCACATCTCTCCTGAAATCCATCGACTGTTCCAGGGGATTCACCTCTCTCATGCACTCCTGGGTTTTATTACTGCAACTGTTTATTTGTGTGTGTGTGTGTATGTCTCATGTGTGTGGGGTGTGTGTGTGTGTGTGTGTGTGTGTGTCCAGGCATGCGTGCTAAGGTGCATATGTGGAGGTCAGAGGACAGCTCGAAGGAATCGATTCTCTCCTTCCACTACATTGGAAGATTGGAGATCTTTTCGACTCAGGTGTCTCTTTTAGCAGCAAACACCTCTCCCCACTGAGCCATCTTGCCGGCCCCCTAAAGCTTCCATTTTGCCTTTAACCTTCTCTGGAGGTTCAGTGTCTCGTATCTGTTACTGTTATCATTGGTTTGTGTTTACCATTCATCTACTATTTCTTTCGGGTGGACTGGAGATGGAGAGGGAACTGAAGATGTACATGTGCTAAAGCAGTCCTGCATCTCATCCCAGCACAATGAGGGGGGTGGGTTTCACTCGGGTTTTTATCTCTGGAAAGACTTTTTCCTGCAGCCCTCCCTTTGCTGAGGCCAAGTCCAGAGTGCCCACGTCTGTATCTGGGGCTCTCTGCCCCCTCTGCTCCTTGATACCAGACCTGTTCATGGTGTAGCTTTAAAGTGAACTGTGGTCTTTAGAAAGGCCTTCTGCTTTGAGAATCTCCAAGATTTACTTAATATTTAGAATCAGGCTGCTGCCTTCTACTGAGAGTCTGTTAGAAATGCATTTACGCCATCAAAACTCCCGGTTGGGAAGGTGGGAAGGTGTGCCGTCCTTACACAACTGGATTTCACAGACTGTGAGTGTGCTACATTCCATGGAAGGGTGGGGACATGCAACCACTGGGATCCCTTGCAACCAGGGAACAAGTGACCAAGGGTATCAGCTGCTGCCTTTTGGGATCCACCCTGACGCCAAGCCGAGACCATGGGGAGTGCACCTTGAACCCCGGACCTCCATCAGCCTGGCCAAACTCTTGGGAGCTGTGCTGGCGCCTCCTTCCATCCCCTCTTCAAAGTGTCCAGCTCACATCCTTTGAACACCCTCTGCCAAGCTCCTTCCTGCCTAAAACCTTCACCGTCTCCCTCCCGCAACCTTGTTCTTCTCATGTGCCCACGCCTGTTTGGAAGCTCGCTTCTCAGAGGGCAAAAAACAACTTACTGCCTTTAGGTTTTAATTTGACACTGCTTTAGAGCAGAGCGATCTCACCTAGTCACATTCACCTCCAAACGACACCATAAACCTGTGAGGGATGAGACTCAGCTCTCCGCATCCTCCCCCACCAAAAGGTGACGTTGGCTCCCAGCCTTTCTCAGGGCTGGCCCTGTGACTTGCTTTGGCCAAAAGAATGTGGCTGAAGCGGCCATGGTGTGAGTTTTGAGTCTAGGTCTCAAGAAACCTTGAAGTTTCTGCCCCTCCTCCTTAGAGCACTGTGGAGGTCAGAGGTCACTCTATGAAGAAGTGGCTTCTGGGACAAAAGACAAAGTGGACAGAGAAGCTTAGACAGGCACTCTGGGGCATCGGAGCCCTGGCAGCTGACGTCCCAGCCTAAGGCCATCTTGGAATACCCAGAAGCAGACCCAATGGCTGAGGGAAGCTGTGAGGAGCCCTGCCAATGATTGCCAGTGAGCTGGGTCCTGACATAATAAGCTGCCATTTTTCCTTCAAGATACTGAGTTTGGGGAGTGATTTATTGTCCACCAATTAAAGCTAACCCAGAGTCTGTTTTTTTTTGTTTTGTTTTGTTTTATTTTCCTTTGGTTTTTCAAGACAGGGTCTCACTGTGTAGCTCTGTGTAGATCAAACTGGCCTCAAACCCACAGAAATCCAGCCGCCTCTGCCTCTCAGCATCGAGTCTTAAATGTCACCTCCAACCTGCTATTGGTAGAGTGGTGATTTTTGTTTTTGATGTTTTAATGGAAAAGATTGCATTTGTCTGTTTATAGTGTGTTTACATCTGTGTGAGCACTCAAGTGCCACGGTGCTTTTGTGGAGCTACTCTTCTGCTCTGCCCTTGTTTCTCCCAGCATTCTCAGTTTGGCTTTCCCACCTAACCTTATTCTGTTCAGCTATTGGCCAGTCAACTTCTTTTTTAAACTAACCACAGTGACATGTAGTCACACAGTATAAAGGAATATTCATATTTGGCTGCATGAACAATCACCCACAATTTTACTATGTTAACATTAAAACTTTCCTTTTTAATTAGACAAAAAGGGGAGAATGCTGTGGAATAATCCTTTTATTCACTGTGAATGTGTATTACTCTCATTGGTTAATAAAGAGCTGACTGGCTGATGGCTAGGCAGAATTCTGGGGACAGAGAGAATGCTGGGAAGGAGGGGGTAGAGTCTGAAGAGTCTTCAGGATTTGCCAGCAGATGCAGAGAGAAGCAAGATGGGCATGCTGTACTGAGAAAAGGTACCAAGACACATGGCAAAGCAAAGATAAGAAATATGAATTAACATAAATGTAAGGGTTAGCTAATAACAAGCCTGAGCTATTGGCCGATCATTTGTAATTAATGTTAAGCCTCTGTGTGTTTACTTGGGAGCTGCTGGCTGGAAAGGAAAACTCCAACAACACTAGCCCTGGTGTAGCGATTTTTATTCCCTGTATTCATTAATTACCAGTTCTGATACTTCACCTATAAATTGCATGTCTTCACTGACAGCAACCTATCAATGGCAGCTTCATCTTTCCCTTTCCAATCCTTGCCACATCATTGACTTTTCTTGCCTTAATGATCTGTATCCACCCTCCTGACCAACCTCAAACATAAGTGTACTGGTGTGGGTGGGGGTGGAGCTCAGTGGTGGAACCCTTCTGTGACTGACAGTCACAGGCAGTTAGATGAGACAGAGATGAGCAAGGAATGTTAGTAAGATACTAGTAATTAGGCCTTGGACCTGTAACATTCCAACTCCCTCACAGTCACTGAAGTTCTACTCAGTGGTTAGAAGGTGTGGGTCTTTCCAGGAGGCTGCCTTCACAAAATAAACCCAGTTTACTCAAGGTGTGTACTTTTCCTCTGTGCAACTGAGCTGTTCAGGAGTATTCCATGTTCATTCAGAGATTGTCCTGTTGTTTTCCTTTCTTAAAATTTTCTCATTGGGCCAGGCAGCGGTGGCACATGCCTTTAATCCCAGCACTCTGCCTTTTTTTTTTTTTTTCAAGATTTATTTATTTATTATGTATAGTGTTCTGCTTGCATGTATCCCTTCAGGCCAGAAGAGGGCACCAGATCTCATTACAGATGGTTGTGAGCCACCATGTGGTTGCTGGGAATTGAACTCAGGACCTCTGGAAGAAACAGCCAG